CTCCAGCGGAGAGCCCGTGTTCCGGCCCTGAGCCGGGTGCGCGTCGCACTGGGTGGGTGCATGGGGCCCGGGCCATAGGTGTGGGGGCACAGCCCTGCCTGGCTGGCCCGGGTCGTCTGGGGTCTCCTGCCTGCGCCGGCCCCCTGTCTCGGGAGCCGCTGAGGGGGAGAGCACGGCGCTCGCTGCCCACGACGCCCAGCAGCCACGTCTTGCCTCTCGCCTCCGCTCCGGACTCGGCATGAGGGGCAAAGGGGAGAGAAAGGAAAAATAAAGAGAAAAAAGGGCGTCAGTGAGGAAGCAGCGAGGAGACTAGGGGGAGCAGAGTGGGCAGGGGGCCTTTGCCTTGCCTGGCCTCCTCCTCTTTCCGTCTCGCGGGCTCTTCCTGCAAAGGGGAATGAACAGAGGGGGGAAAGGCAGAAAGAGCGTCGAGGAAAAGCGGTGCTGGCGTCTTCCGTGCCGATCCCTCCTGGCCCTCAGAGACCCGGCAAAAGTGGCGTGAGTTCGCTCTCTGCGCTTCGGGGCGAGGTTGGGGAAGGCCGAAGAAGGGGCGGCGACGCGTCGCGCCGCTGGTGGCCGACGGGGCCGGGGCCGGGCGCGGAACGAGCGGGGACACACACCTGTTCTGCGAGCCGCACCGTGTGCCGCGGCCGGACGGCCGCCGTGCGGGCCGCAGAACCCTCCCTTCCGCACCGCGCATCCGCAGTCCAGGAGCTGGAAGGGCCCGGCAGCCCCGCGCCGGTCCGCATTTGCAGGAGAGCCGGAGTGGAGGAGTCCGCGGCTGCCCGCTGAAGCGGTGGCGTGCGGCGGCGGGACCCGGGTGACCCCCAGGGCGGGGCTGCTCGGGGGCTGGAGGTCCTTGGACTTTGGTCGAAGGCTGGCAGCTCTGAGCCCCTGCCCCGCGGGCCCCGCGCGGCTGCGGACCAGGGGCCCTTGCACGTGTCGGTTCTTCCCGGACTGGCGCCTTGGTTGCCCAAAGTTAGGCGCAGACCGTTTCGTGCAGAGGTTGTTGGGACCTAGAGTATTCTATATACAAAGGCAACCGAGAGCCGGAGGGAGAGGTCAGGCCAAAGAGTAGTGGGCTTGGCTCCGCGTTGGCCCCAAGTTTATGTAGGTTTCGCCTTCACCTCTCTTCCCCCGTTTCTCCTGAAAGAGTTGATTTTTTCCCAGTGGAGACTCTTCCGACCTGAATAATGCACCCTCTCGCTAAGCCCGTATCCCAGCGATCCCGCACTCTCGGACTGGCCCGGGCTGTCTCGGATTCGCACCCTTTGGCCAAGCTGGGCCTGAATCCGGGTCCAAATCTGGGACCGATACCCGGCCGTGCCTGAAGCACAGGCGTCGGCCCTAGCCCGGGAACTGTGTTGGCCTTATGTTCCCTGAGCTGTCGCATATGGTGGTAAAATTTCTGTTAGAGCGGTGTTTCCAAATACCCCCTGGGCATTTGGTGTGCGGGAATTCTCTTCAAGCGAAGTCTGTGAACTTAAAAAAAAAAAAAAAAATTCTTTCCTGCGTTCTTAACAACCCCCCACTACTCTGCCTCATTTCCCATTGTTCTTTGCTTTTTAAGTTCCCTGTTAATTTTTTAAAAGTTTATTTATGCAAAGGAAAAATATCGTTTAATTTGTTCTATTATTTTAATTCCTGGCTTTTGGAAACGGTTCAGAGACCACAAAAATGTCACCTGTTGTAATAAGCAGAGGAGTGTTGTGTGTGCATTTTAATTGCCAGCAGAGCCATAGTTTGGTGGGCGCCCTGAGCTCGGCTCCGGGAAAGAGCCCTTTGCAGCTTTCTTTGTGGCAGTCATTTGCAAATGGATTTGGCTCTCAGCTACGGCAGAGGCAGCGGCAGCAGCCACCGCTTCCTTCTACGCCGATCCCGGGCGCAGGTCAGGAAGCCCAGACCCTGGACCGGGATGGGCAGAGGATGGGATGGGAGATTACCTACTCTCTGAGACTTTGTCTTGGGCTTTCGGTTTTTCTGTGCGAAAGTGGCTAGTTCGCTCCGCAGAGCGCGGAGCGCTGCGCATCAGCCCAGCCTCAGACATTTTCACGTTCCAAACGCGGGCGTCTTCGTTTCATTTGTCTTGGTTCTGGCATGTTTAACCACGCAATTAGTAATCTCACTAATTATTCAGATAGCTGGCGTTTTGTAATCACTTTAAAGCAGGATCGGGAGTGTGATTTAAGAAACAAACAAACTCCCACAGATACGGAACTGAACCAAACCCATTACGTCAAGGATTTGAAATTTTTTTTAACTCAATATTTGTTGGTCCCTCCGTCCAGCCTCACTGCCTGCCAGACAATTTATTTAGCTTCGTGGATTGATCCCTCCTCCTTGTTTAGTTAATTCAACAAAGACTTTTTGCAATCTGTTTGGAGTTTGTCTGATGCCGTGGAAAAGTAGCTGATGATTTATTTGGTTGCTTTTCGATTTCTGTCTTCAGCCCTTCTTTCTCCTCCTTTCAGCGGGGATGTCAGCTGTTATTACTTCCTATTGATCCCTTTGCAAAGTGAGAAGTGAACTAAAATTAATGTCAATTCCACTGCTCGGATCAATAGCTGGAGTTATTTTAATCTGGATTTGCACGAAGTGCTAAATTAAAAAAAATCAGCATAGAGTCAGAAAAGTAACAGTTACTTACTTTCCCTTTGCCCAGTTCTTCACAGTCACCCAAATGCTCCATCAAGCTGATTATCTTACAATCCATATTTTTTTAATTAAGAGGGTCAGTTAGTTTTCTTATTTTGGGTTCTGTGTTTAAACCCATGACATTTTGACATTGGGAGTGTATTAACTATAGATTTTCATAATGACTGTGGTCGGCTGAAGCCTCATCTATACAAGTTGTTAATGTGAGGAGAGGGTAAGAAAGAAAAGGGAAAAGAAAAAAGCACTCCCCCTCCCCCATGGAGACCAACACGCCCACGCAGTGGAGTAAGAGAGATGTGGCCTGGAAAAATATTGTTGATTTATTTTCAGTGTAATGAAGTTTTCAAATGAATAACCAGGGTTGAGTGATTCACCGGGTTCTGTTGGAGTGTCCGGTGCTGTCACCAGATTCCTAATTTATGAAACTCATTTAAGATAATGAGGTGATCTAGGAAGTAAAAATAGCAAGTGAATCCTGGGGCGGGGGGAGGTCGTATTGTGAGGGGGAAACATTCCTCCCTTCACACTCAGTGTGTTATGTTTGTCCTTTTCTCTAGTTTGCCTCATATAATATTGCTTGTTGATAGACAAGTAGCTATTTCTGTTGTGAAGAGCTGCTTGGAACCCTTGGAACAGCCCTAGACCCACTTTCAGAGCGTCCATGTTGTATGACCATTAATCTGACTAGAAAACAGCCAAGAACAGGATTCCCAGACTTGTCAGGCTAACTGGCTGTCCTTGGCAGATCATTCCCTGCACTGCTATAACTTGACAGGAAAGTTATTTAAAATTTGGAAGAGAGAAAAATCCGTTAATGTGAGATACATAATCTGGTAATTTAGCAATGATGTCTATAAGGAAAGATGCCAAATGAGGAAGCAGTCTGATGGTGTCCACTCATCTTCCCAATTAATAACAGTCATTGACACGTCTGCTACAGGATGGGAGAAGGAAATACTCTCTTTGCACTGCATTAAGCCAGGAGGATTCAGCTACCATTTAACTGAGGTTTCTCCATTTGAGGGAATACCAAAGATACTCCAGGTGGGCTTTTTAAAAGGAAGGAGGTAGATTTTATTTCTGATATGACTCTCCATTTAAAGGCTGTAATTTGTAGCAGACGGTGATTTTTGGTTATGCTTTGAGTTTCATTAAGTTTCTATTTCATGTATATTTTTGATGTAATAAGTCCTGGTATTCATCTTTATGTTGTCCTAGCTTTTGATATATAGCCCTTCTCCCAGCCCCCACTCAAAATACACTTTGGAATGGAACCAGCGACTATGAAAATGTACAACCTAAATTTACAAGGGAAACTGAAAGAAGTCTCTCCGAACTCCAATTTGTTCTGAGGGCCTTTATTGGACATCAGCTCTGACTGGGCCAATAAGCAGAGCAAAATAAGTCAGAAATTTTGTTAACATTTTGTTCTAAATGTTAATGGCAAATCCAAGGCAGTTTACAAATCTACTTAAGAGTGAGTGCATTAGTAACTAAAATTACCGATCCGTTCTTTGCTGCCCTTAGAAGACAGACGCTTCTAGAGAGCGTATGCCAAAGGCACCCATTATGGTTTTAAATATTGTCAGAGACGCCAGGCATTTTATTGATGAAGGTTTTGTTCCTTCTCAGAAAAGAGAAATAGAAAGCCCATGTGATTAGAGAGGGGTGTGCATCAAAATAAATGTTAATGCTGTTTGTTCACATAGCACTTTTTTCTGGAAACAGATGATACATGAAGATGTGTGTGTGTGTGTGTATGTATGTGCCAATGTGTATCATTTATCCATGTGTATACTTTGTACTAACTAATATGTACAAGTGCTCCTGGTCTGGATGAACTTGAATTAGGGATATTTCAGTATCAGGGAGTTGTTAGGGGAGATAAAGAGAGGATGCATATGTGGGGAATCGTATATGTAGAATGTGGTCTCTGAACATCAGGCCTGCCATGAGTGGCCTGTGGATGCAGGTGGAAGCACTTTAAAACATAGACCCCCACTTAATCTACTGGATGGCTTGGCCTTCCAAAGCTCATTTGTTCAGGGAATATCGTATTTGGAGGTTTTATGATATTTTTTTCTTTGCCGGGCTCAGGCGCATTTCACCCGGAACGTGTAGGGACCAAAGTCAGCTACGCGTACATCACAGTAAGTTGTCTATTGATTTTCCTGAATGAAAATGGTCTGATGCTGCTGCCCACTGGCTCCTAAAGCCTGTGGTGTCTCTTGCCCGAGCATCTGTAAGCCAGAAGGATGGTGTTTCGATCACTTGGGGGTTTCCCTTTTTTTCCTCCCCCTGACTTTCCTCCCTCTTCTTTTTTTCTCTTTGCTGTTTCTACAGGTCTTAGAAGGGAATGATTCCCCAGTAATATTCCCTGCCCTAACCCAAGGTGCCGCTTGGCCTCCCTCCCAGGGAAGACTGCTTCTTGTGTAACGCCGGCCACAGAAAGAGACTCCGATGGACTTACACCGGGCAGCCTTCAAGATGGAGAACTCATCCTACCTTCCCAACCCTCTGGCATCCCCAGCACTGATGGTCCTGGCATCCACGGCTGAGGCCAGCCGTGATGCTTCCATCCCTTGTCAGCAGCCACGACCCTTTGGTGTACCTGTCTCAGTTGACAAGGACGTGCATATTCCTTTCACCAACGGTTCCTATACCTTTGCCTCTATGTACCATCGGCAAGGTGGGGTGCCAGGCACTTTTGCCAATCGTGATTTCCCCCCTTCTCTACTACACCTCCATCCTCAATTTGCTCCCCCAAATCTAGATTGCACCCCAATCAGTATGCTGAATCATAGTGGTGTGGGGGCTTTCCGGCCCTTTGCCTCCACCGAGGACCGGGAGAGCTATCAGTCAGCCTTTACGCCGGCCAAGCGACTTAAGAACTGCCATGACACAGAATCTCCCCACTTACGCTTCTCAGATGCAGATGGCAAGGAATATGACTTTGGGACACAGCTGCCATCTAGCTCCCCCGGTTCACTAAAGGTTGATGACACTGGGAAGAAGATTTTTGCTGTCTCTGGCCTCATTTCTGATCGGGAAGCATCATCTAGCCCAGAGGATCGGAATGACAGATGTAAGTACTTTGGTTCGAGCCCTCCCTTACCCGCAGTAAGCCCTGCCTCACTGTGATGTTCAACAGGTCGGTGGCGTTTTGCATGCTCCTAGTAACGGGAAGGGCCAACTACTTCCCTTTCGCTAGCTGTGGAGTGCTAACCTTTGCTTGTCTCTCATCAGTGAGCACTGATAGTTCTTGAAATGTTTTTCTGAAAGTAGCCAGAGGCAAGGTGGCCCCAGCACAGCCTTTCTCTCCGGGTCATGGTGGGCTTATTCTCTGAGGACTGGAGTGAAGAGGGGTACCACTGATGTAGTGGAGTAAATGTCATTTCATTAAGAAGTGTCGGCTCCTAGGGAATTTAGGGGGCCTAAAGAAACATGTCCACCCCTCCTCTCTTTGCTGTCCTCATTATGTTTGTCTGATCTTAGTGTTATTTTTTAGCTTTTCCATTGTATCACATCCAGCAGACTCCACGTGATTCTATTTTCACAACTCTCAGCCCTTGTCCACATCAGGCTATTTTTCAGAGAAGGACAAAGGTGTCGTCAATCACCATAAAGCATTTCAAACAGCTGTGTTTTCCTTGCGATCGCAAGGCTAGAAAGCCGACTTCTCTTGGGATTTCACAGGTTTGCTGGATGCTTATCCTGGGGCTCACTTTTAGGACTAGACACGGTTGACCTGTGGGACTGCTCCATATTTGATGTTCACAACTATTATTAATTTCTGCTTATGAAACAGTTTTTTCTCATGTTCTCCAAGTGCCTTGTTGGGCTCTGGCTACACTTACTCATAGCTGGAACTAAACCTTTATTTGGAACTTGTAGACTAGGAGTGCTGAACCCTGCAATCTTTTGCTCTAATATAATCAGAAAATAATTGTGTTTTGAAGCTTTTGGGCTGTGGGTAGACAGAGCAGTTTTCTTCAAGCCTGGTGAGAATTTATGAACTGAGGGTGTTTTTTCCACCCAACCCTTTGTTCTCAGATTTGCTTCATTTTATTTTCTTAAGAAAACTACATCTGAGGTTTGCCTTCCCCTTTTCTCTATTTTTTCATGCTCCCGTCCTCTCTATAACCACCAACACGAATACCATTTTTTCCCTCCTCTTTATGATGCCGAGGAGAGTAATAGAGACATTGCAGCTCTCTCCCCTGTCGCCACTGCTTCCTCAGGCTGTCTCCTTGAATTAGGCACTGTGTTAACTTTCCTGCGCTAAAAGGCATCTGCCTAAACCCAGCGTACCTTTTCAATAAAAGTCATCATAAAATCAACCTGCCTTGTAAATCCATCGCTCTTTGGTTTTGAAATATGTTGCAAGTGTGTCTTTTATGTCAGCGTCTGTAAGCCGGAGACCTCCCCACTTAAGGGAGAAGGCTGCTGGCTGACAGCACCACTGCTAGTGTTGTCCTCTCACTTTGGCTTTGGCTCTCTTTCACCTTTTCACTTTCTGTTGACTTGTGTGTCTTGTGATCCTGCTTCTTGGATATACCTGCTGAACAGGTATCGGCATTGTGTTGGTCAATTTTATTTTAGTTTAGTTTAGTTTTTGCTTGTCCGGTGATGTGCAAGTGATCAAGGCTAGTTGTAATGTGACCTCCAGCTAAAACTGCCTTGTGTTAGGGTATGACAGGTTCTACCCTTTTTTTTCCCTCCAAATACAAGTTGAAAATTAAATCCTCTCATAACTAATATGCCACAAAGTAACATCTGGAGATTGAGATCCCTCTCTTCTTACCTAACAGATCCAGCTTGTCTCCATTTTTCTATCTTTTTAGCCCAAACCTGTATCAGACTCCAGAGCAGGAGGAAGCTTGTTAGTCAAGTCAGAACTCATAGATGTGGATATCCATTCCTCTCTGAGTGTCAAAGCCATAACTCTTCTGTTTGCCTGGTTTGCATTGTGTGGTGGTGGCATCCCCCATGGAGATGGATCCCTCACACAGGAATACGCCTGGGTGGAGAAAAATTAAATGAGTCTGTCTCCCAAAGTGAAATGGAATTCTGACCTTGAAATTAATGAGATTCTAATCAGAAGGCTGGGGAAACTTCTTTATTTCCAATGTAGTGTTATAGAAATTGGAGTCCTTTTCTTCTTTTATTCATTTAAAATATTCTTCCCTTATAGAGTACCTTGTGTTCTCCTTTTTTCCTTGTACACAAGCATAAAACCTATAGGAGTGTCTGTGAGGGGAGGGTGTTTGTACACCCACGTTATTATCCAGAGTTGCATTTGTGACTAATCTTTAATAAGAAACAGAGGTGTAAAGTGAAAAGGAGGCTGTGCTACCCTGTGGTCACCCTGGATTTGTGCTCTTTCCTCCCTTCCTTACCTTAGGTGGTTAGCACATCCCTCACTGGGTCACACTGGATAGCATTTGTGCTTTTGATTGCGAATTTTTGGAAGGCAGGAGAAGTATTTTTCTGTAAGGAAGGGTTGAAGAGGCACTAAGACAAAGTCTGCAGCAGCTTTCTTGGCTCCTGTCATATGCCGACGTGTGTCGGAATATTTATGGTCTGCTTTATGTAAATACATATTTAAGGGCCGTTAGAAGGCCTGATTATTCCCACTAGATGCCTTTCAGGTCCTCCCTACAGAACCGTTTTGAAATAAGTAATATTTCTCAGATAATCGAGTGACAGTATACAAGACTGCTTCCAAAGGGAGAGAGAGCTTCAGGGGCAGATGGGGGCGGTGACGGGGGATGGGGATATGAAAAGACAGAGGATAAAAAGTGTTCAGACCAGCAGAGTGATAGGACACAGTGCTTTTGCCAGATTGCCCAAATTAACCATATATGGTTAATATATACACACACATATATGTGTATATATGTATATATATTTATTCTTAAAATTTAGAGTTAATTGCTGATTTGGTTGACTCGTTTTTCAGTTCTCTTCATGTAAATATCTTTTCATAAAATATTTTTAAAACATTTTAATTAAATGCAGCAGTCAAACTCCGAAGTAAGCATTTAGCTTTAGAGTTTTGTTGGTGGGTGGGGGCGGGGGGTGAGAATGGGGATGTGTGTCCTTTACTTAGAGCAGAAGTTTTTATGACTGAGTTTTAGGTCATTAAGAAATCAGTTGTATAATGGAAACACTGACAGTTTTTACTGTTGCAGCCACCCCCTGCTCACACACTGCATCAATATGCAGATATGTCCACTTGCAAGCCCACTGGAAAGAGAGGCCTGCAGACATGGTGTAATGCACACATGTTCTTTCTTAAATCTGGGTAGTGGTAGGCAGGATTTCTTTTGTGATTAAACACGCATTTTTGTAGACAGAAACATAGCTATTTGGGTCAAACATCATCTTTCCTGGTAGGTGATTCTGGTTTGCTCGCCTGTCCAGCCACCTGGCTTCACAGGTGATTCCTGAGGGAGGTGTTGGGCTCTATGGGAAACAAGCAGCCTTTACTCTACAGGACTGACTGACTTGCCCTGGAAAATGGGAGAAGCGTTTTGTGAGAAGCCATTCATGGAGGATGCGTAATTCCCCAGGAAGGGGACTGAGGTAACTCCTGTTTATTGTCACTCCCCGAACCAGTCCCCAAGGCTTGTTGTCCAGGGAAATAATGCTAAAATTTATGGACCAATTACAAATAGTTCACGTGTGCCTTACATATGAAGTGTCTACAGCGATGTTTCCCAGGGCCTTTAAAATAAACATTTCCTCATTAAGGAAACTTTACAACAAAAGGGAAGATAAGTATTGTCTGCTGTCTTGTGTTAGAATCTGTACATTTATTACCCCCTTAGTATTCTGACTCCTGTCGTGTGCATTTCCTGATGGTTCTCTTCAGGCTGCCCCTGTGCCCAGATTCCTGCCTGTGTGACACAGCCTTTGGCCAGCCTGCCAGCCTATCCACTCAGCCCAGATTGGAGTTGGCAAAGTATACATGCTCACCACAGGGCCGAGAGGGCCCAGAACTGCCCACGTGGAGCGGTGACTGGCCCTGCCTTCTGGCTTTACCCCAGGGATGGACACTGGGCACTGACCATAAGTGGCTTGACTTTGCCCTCTTTCCTTGACCTTCACTGTGGTCAGGCAGAGTCACAGGGAGGCAGGAAACCTGATGGCTCACAGCAGCTCCTGGATGTTCCGCTTTGCTCTCATCTTTGATGTACTTGGGCAGCCATTCTTGGGTCCCAAAAGCCCTGAGTAGGAGATGGTATTTTGTACTCTGTGTCTTTATAAAGGCGTGTATCATTGAAGACCCTGTGTTCTAACAGTCAAATCAGCTGAGCCCATCTAGGCCAAAGGCAGCCTGGAATGGGGAGGGCTGGGGTGAAGGGGATACTTTCCAAGGGCTCTGGGAGTGGAGTGGGCAGGGACTCCACTCTGGGCTTTTAGGAGAGTTGCTCTTGCTAGGGAGAATGTTTGGGGCATGCCAGGTGGCCAGGCTGCACCTCTGGGTTGCAGCTGGGACAGATGACCACTGGGAAAGGGCCGGCAAATCGCCAGAAGAGCTGGGTCAGATGCTTCCCTCTGTCCTGACTGCCCAGACCTAGCCTGACTCTCCCTCAGCTGCTCCCGGGTTCTCCCCCACTCCCCGGGGGCAAGAACTCCTGTGATGTGTGTGGTTGTTTCTGGTTGTTCACTCCCCACACAGTCATGGAGACTCTTTTTCATGCTGCTGGGTTTAATTGTCTTGTTGGGATAAAGAAATGTTTGCACAGCTAAAGTGGAGCCGGGCTGGACGGGAGCGGTCCCTGATGGCTGCAGAGCCATCTGGCCTGGCTTGGCTTGGCTCGGCGCGCCGCTCGCCCGGCGGCTGGGCTCGCTTTAGCTGTGCTCCCGCTCTTCCCCTGCCCTCGCTCCACGCCGCGCCGCTCTGTGCGCCGGCTGCCTCCTCTTACGGCCGGAATGCCTAATCACCATGGTGAGAAAACGGACACCGCAGCCGTCCTCCTTCCTCGCCCCGCGCCCTCCCTCCCATCAATTGTCATGCAGAAGTGATCCGGGCTGCCGTATCCTCGCGGCCGCCCGCCAGCCCCTCGCCGCTCCCGG